GCTATCATTATCATCTACTATAGTTTATTCTGGATTTTTACTAAACGTTTAAATGTTGTAAAAAAATGTGGTGAATACGGCAAAAGTACATACTAAACAGTACAAAAGTAAAGAAACATAGCATTTCCCGAGGTGGGATTCGAACCCAGAATCGATGGTTTAGTCCAAAGTCCAATGCTGTACCCATTCGGCTACTGGGCCGTTATTGTTCTACACCATGGATTGACACGTACGTGATGTATAATGTTAATCTGTACGCCATCTATTGATGAATAGAATTTTTATAAAGTTTTAAGTTTTTAAGTTTTTTGAAATTTTGTTTCAGCCAGAACCACCTCCCCACCCAATATATACATATACATACATACATACATACATACATACATACATAGATAATATAATAGTACCTACTCGTCTGTCTTTCCCATAGCTACATGTACTGGACGAACTGGAACGACCAGAGCCCCAGCATCCAGCGATCGTTTCTCAGCGGCTACCACGTCGAGTCGATCGTGACGACGGATATCCGAATCCCGAACGCTCTCACCGTCGACCACCCAGCGAAGAAGCTGTACTGGGCAGACGCGCGGCTGGACAAGCTGGAGCGATGCAACATGGACGGCACGGGTCGCAAGGTGAGACATACGCACGTGTGTGTGTGCGTGCTTGCGTGTGTGCGTGTGTGAGGGGGCGGGAGGTGTGAGAAAGCTGTACTGGGCGGACGCGCGGCTGGACAAGCTGGAGCGATGCAACATGGACGGCACGGGTCGCAAGGTGAGGCAGGGAGAGATATATACCTACTGTGTGCGTGCGTGCGCACATGTGTGTGTGTGTATGCTTGTGTGCGTGTGTCCGTGCGTGCGTGTGTGTTAGGGGAAGGCAACGTGAGGCTGTGAAAATTGGGAGCCTGTGTGCAGTCGGTGTAATTGACGTGTGTGAAGCCAGTGGCATTGATTGACCCACACTTCTACCATTTTGCCATTTTTAACCATGGATGGATAGATGGATGGTTGGATGGAAGATGGGAGGGGATGGACAGACGGACGTACAAATAGACAAATGAATGGATAAATAGATGAGCACACGACTAGATGAATATATAGATAAATAGATAAATAGATGGATAGATAGATCAATAGATGAGCCCACGACTAGATGAATATATAGATAAATAGATGGATAGATAGATAAATCGATAGACGAACATACATAAATGTCTCTCTCTCTCTCTCTCTCCATCTAGGTGATCCTGACACTGCGCAGCACCAGCCACCCGTTCGGGCTGGCCGTGTACGGCGACATGCTGTACTTCACCGACTGGGGGTCGCGCGCCGTCATGCAGGTGGAGAAGTACTACGGAGCCGGACTCGTCACGCTGCGAGACAAGATACCGCGCCAGCCAATGGGCCTCGTAGTGGTCGCCAACAACACCAACGATTGTGAGTGCGCAGGCGTGGGGTGTAGCTTACATTAAATATGCATGTGCGTGCGTGTGTCCGTCCGTGCGTGTGTGATGCGTGCGTGCATGCCTGTG